TCATGTCGCGTATCCATGTCCATACTTCTTAGCTAATCTGAGACTGAAGCTGATGCAAGTCCGGTTGGCTAGAGGAGACAGTTGAGCCAGTAGTATTAGCAATAGCGGCAGTACAAGGGTGTTTCCGAGCAAAACATTGCTTCATCTCGGGATGAATCTCGAAGCAACGAGCCTTAATATGCCCAGTCTCGCCACAGTGATGGCAAGTAACCTTTCCAGTACGAGGGCAAGAGGCAGAATGAGCAGCAAGAGCTATCTAATTAGTGGAAGAGACAAGGACTAGAGATGAGGATGGTTGTACCAATTGGCGATGACGCTTTTCGCTATCAAGAATACCAAATGCCTTATATAATGACTACATAGGAGTGTATTTAAAATCTGAATCCAAAGAGACTCGAACTTAGGGTTTAAACCCATCAAAAACTGGAAAATCACCATATTATGGTAATTCCTCCCACTGTGACTAAAGATAAGAACTCAGAAACTGAAAGACCCAAAGCCTCCTAGGATGCACAAAACTCAAAAATTTGGGAGACATGTTGCGTGTGGGCATACATCTGAGAGTGAGCACTCCAAAGCCGAGGGACTATATTGTAATACATGAACATATTATAGATACGTTACTCCATAGAATTAAAAATCCAGCCCAACAAAGTACAATTGTCAATATCCCATTGAGCCCATTTAGGGTCTTTGTCAGGTGGTTGTTTCTCAGTCTCTGGAAGCCAACCAGATTTGTCTTTAACCCCAAGGTAGAGACGGAGAGAATGACTCCAAGTAGCAAAATTCTTCCCGTTGAGCACCACGCTTGAAATACGATGGGTAGAAGCAGGTAATGTGATAGAAACATCGAAACTAGGGGCAACAGCAGAAGCAACTGTGGTAATACGCCCCCAATGGTTGCAAATTTCTCAGAAGTCTCAGTCATGATGCGTAGCAGGAAAAGGTAAGTACCCGCAAAAATACGGCCAAAGAAATGGCTAATACAAATCAAATGAAACAGCTGGAGCTATGGCTTGACCCAAAGGATGCTACCGAGGACACTTGTAGCCCCAAAACTCAGAAAATAATTAACATGTGCTTACCACATCAGCACAAGGCCCTAAAACAGGGCAAAACACGAGACATCACACCTAAAAGGGTTGCTAGAGGTCCGAACACCACCCTAGGTGGTTTGAACAACACGAAAAAGGCCTTGGATGGTCTGGTCGGTGGCTGGGTCACAGCCTGGTGAGGCCAACTGGGCCTGTAGAGGCTGCTGACAGGAAGAGAAGGTGTTGCTGGCTGGAGGGGGGCTGCTGACAGTGATGGTATGTGGTTGGGTGGTGCTGACAGGGAGAGAGATGAGGGTAGGGAAGGATGGGCTAGGGTTTTGGCTTTGATACCAAGATGATTTGTGTAATTGGTTTACCTTTCAATGATGTTAGGCCACATATATATATTGAAACAAGATTACAAATTAGGAAACAAGGAATTACATTGATTGAGGCAAGAAATCCACGATTGTATAATCACGGATTGTATTCTAATAATATCATAAATAAATAATTCGAGTAGTTTAAAGGTCATTTGAATATGGCTCGTTTGCTAAATGAATGAATTCGAGGAAAATTTTTAGGTTCGTTTATTAATCGAGTAGAGCTCAAGTAGCCCAAAGCTTGCCTCATGTAGGCTTGTGAACATAAAGTTATATAAATTAATATTCATTTTTAATAATATTTTTTCATTAATTTAATTTATTTCTATATTTATGTTTGGAGTTTTTGCAAATTTACATATTTGATTAATAAAACTTAACAACAATGTGAGCATTAATTATATTTTGCACATAATCTTCTCTTTTTTCTCTTAAATTACATGTTAATTTAAGTTTTGATTTTATTTTCAAGCTCGAGCTTGACCTCAGCTATTTTGAGTAATTGAGTTGACTTCAACCGAGCTTGAGTTTTAGAAATACTAGATGAGTCAAGTTTAAGCTCGACAAATTTTCAACAAGCTGAGCTCTAACATCCCAAAGCTTGGCTCAATCTGTTTGTAGCCTTACTTGTATGTAACTCATTGCTCTTGCCTTTAAGTGTTTCACAAAATGGGCAAGGGGCACTGTGTCAGTGCTCAGGTGCTGTAAAATGTAGGCAATGTCTTTGGGTTTTACTAAACAAGCACGGGTAAATAAATTAGTCCAAGATTGTAGGTATAGATTAACAATGTGGAATATATGAATACTAATAAATAAAACTATGAAATTAGTAAATATTATTTTAAAAAAGACAATGCCCAATTAGTACACATAAATGTCTGTTTGGGAGGAGAAAGATTGAGTACACACCTAACATTTGGTATAATACACAAAGTGGTGGCCCCAAGACTTGAACCCATAACTAGTCTTAACCCTTGAACCAATGGTTACCCCTTTAAATTAGTAAATATTATAATGAGAAGAAAAGTTAGTATAGGATGTTTACAAGAAACTAAATTGTAACGATGTCGGAGAAAAAGTTAATGAAGTAGAAATTATTGTGTATAAAATTTACCATACTGGAAAAGATAGACAGAGAAATGATGTAGTAATGATTGTAACGAACCATCTTAAAGGTAAGGTAGTAACAATTTCAAGAATAGGAGACAAAACAATGGAAATTAAACTTGTAATTTGGGAAAGTATAATTCATGTGATTAGCGCTTATGCACCCCTAATAGGATTGGAGTGTAATATATTTCTAATACAATTTTGGGAATAACTGGATGAGTTAATGCAACAAATATCTATACAGGAGTAGATAATTGTAAGTGGATATTTCAATAGTCATGTAGGTAAGTAAGAGTACAAGAAGGTCCATGGTAGATATGGTTTTGGTAACTGAAACAAGACCGTAGAGGGCATCTTAGATTTCGTAGTAGTATTTGATCTTATAGTAACTAGCACATTCTATAAAAAGAAAGAACAATGATTAACTTTTTAAAATGGGTCAAATAAGAGTCAAATAGATTGTTTCTTATAAGAAAAACATACCACTTAATATGTAAAACTTGTAGGGTTATCCCTGAAGAGAGTTTAACATCACAACATAGCCTAATAGATATATACCTTAATGAGCAAAATTGGAACCTAAAACATATTAAAAACCCACAAACTAAATGGTGAAGTCTAAAAATTGAGGAATTAGAATTATTTAAGGATAAAAAGTTTAAAGAAGCAATGTAAAGTTTGGAAGGTGATATACTTAAATTTTGCTTAACCATCGTTCACGGAGCAATCCTTAAATTTTGCTTTATCCTTGACCCAAAATGCCACTCATTTTAATAAGCTGTGGAATGAGATCCCAATTGGGTTGTGTATCGTTGAAGACAAGCTTGTTCTTAATATTCCGAATTATCCACAAAATTGCAAATGGAATCACTTCCCATATAGCACTAACCTTCTTTCTAACACCAGCTCCTTGCCACCAAGATGACAATGATCTGACAGACCTAGGAAGCCACACCATTCCCCACCAATCAATATACGCCACCCAAATCTTCGAGGTTCTATAACAAAGGAGAAGAATATGATCAACAGTTTCGAGTTCACTCCCACAAAAATGGCAAAGACCTGAGCTCGGGCCATTAACTACTCCAATTTTCAGCAACAATTCCTCCATTTATCTCTACCGTTCTATGCTATCCAACAAAAAATTGTACCGTGTGAGGGGCAATATTACCCCCAAATCGAAGACATGATACTCCTCTTTGGCCCAAGCGAATCATCAAACCAATAAAGAGAATGAACTGAAAAATGACTTGAGGAGTCAGCTTTCCACTCCAACCTATCTTGTCTGCTTGCACTGAACAACAGCATTTGAGATAGTTGATTCTGAAAAACCACAAACTCCACCTCTTCCCAAGGTCGTAAAGCTCTCCTAAAAAATACTTCCCTTTCCAATCCATTATTCCATCTTTCCACAAAAGACTTCACAGACTCATTCTTGTGAAGATAGAGACTGAATAATCTTGGGAATTCCTCTAATCTTTCAATGAATTAGATCCAGTCCATTTATCATTCCAAAAAGACATCACACTACCATCATCCAAAGAAAACTCAATATTTGACACAGAAATTAAACAAAGTAGGGCACCTACCTTCCATTGCAATGATATTGATCCAGATCCTGGATCAATTGTATGAAGATGTACCCCAAAAAAAGGCAGTTTGTTTTCACAGTGTCTGATTTGCTGCAGATAATTCTCCTCCAAAGAGCATTCCTTTCTGTGCCCAATCTCCCCCACCATTTCATTGAAAGACATCATTTGTTTCCCTGATTTTTCTGATTCCTAATCCTCCAACCTCTTTACTTCTTGTAACACTTCCCCATTTGTGGTATACAATATGATCATCATAGCATTATTTCTCCTTTTTAATACGAAGTGTTACAATATAGCAAAGGGAGAGAAACAAAGTATTACAATATTCCAAAGAGAGTGAAATAGAAGAGTTATGGAGAGAATAGAATATCAGTACATGATCTGGGCTTTCTTCTAGTTGCACCCTAGTGCTTCATGATTTAGAGTTGTTATCTTCTTTGTTATGCATTGTCTGTTTGGTCCCGGGGTATTTCTGTTGTTGCTATTGTCTCTGTTGCGTTGCTTTTGGTGGTTTCTCTTTTGTTGTTTTTGGTTGGATCCTCTCCAACCATTTTTTTGTTCTTGGGTGGTGCTTGCATATGATAGGGCTTTCTTTCCTGTGCCAACCTAGTTTTGATGGAATTGTTTAGCTTTGATGATTTTTGCACTCCCCCTTTAGTTTTCATCAATAAAGTGCTCTTTTTTGCTGGAAAAAAAAAAAAAATTTTTTTTTCTTCAATAGTTCTTGTATTTTACATATACAACTTTCTATACATTCAGAGAATATAAGAAATGTTTCGGAGTGTGGTTTTGTTTTGCACTAGTTTATTTGGGTTCCCTTGCCTAGTTCGGATATGGATGCTTCTGATCTTAATCATATCTATCATATACACCGTGTGCAGTACTTTTCAATCTGAAGAGTCACTTCCATTGATTTCGAGGCCTGATGGTCTAGGAAAGCTGCAATCTGTTGAAGGAATGACTATTCAAAAATCTTTTGAATTGATGGACAATGTCAAACCCATTCAGGTGCCTTATTCTGCTTATAATCTGTGTTTTGAAACATTTGTTCTTCTCTTGCACTTGGACAAGATCCATTTCCCACTTGGGATTGCAGTAACTCTTGAATCGCGTCCTAAAAAGCATTATGCTTTCAATGATGAGTAGAAATTAATGATATGAGGTACACTCACAACCAAGGTTTTAAATAGCACAACCGAGGTCGTGGATGATGCAGCTGTAAAAAATTTAAAATCATCCGCTGTGGAAAGAACTGCATAGCAGTGAACCGGCCTGACTTGTCGTCTCTGAATTGGGTCACAAATCAGCTATGAAGTGATACATATCACTTACTGGTCGACATGCATGTGATTTTTATTCCCTCCGATATACCAGAGTGTATCGGTATTGAAGGCCAAAAGAACAATTCATATCAGCCAGTATTGGTATATATCATTCGATATTTAAAATCATGCTTACATGTTCCAAAGTGATTATTGTTGAATCCCTTTGAATCATTTATATGACCAACTTGCCTATCGTTTTCTTTAAAAAAAAAGAAAATGATAAAAGACCCTTAATCAATCACACACAAAGAACATAAGGAATATTATTTGATAATCTTTTGAATTATTTAATCACGTGATAAGGAGCTTAAAGTTTTAAGCGGTTATTGTCATGAACATAATTTTTCATCAATTTATGTCCTCTAAATCTATTCGGCCCACTTTGTATGTAGAATGTGGTCAAGGCGTTAGCAACTAATGATGAGCTGCGGAATGCTTTTCTAAAAGTTAAGGAAGTACAGGAATTCAAGCAGCGGCTAAAGACAGGTTTACAAATGCATTTGTTTATTAACGAAATTTAAAATATTAGTAATGTTAAGAAATCATTGTTTTGTTTGGTTATAATTTTCAGAAATTATTTTTAAATGGGTTTTCATTTTTCTTTATTGAATTTTTTTTTTCATATTTTAGTTAAAATTTTTATTTTATTTTATAGATACATCAACATTAGATGCATCTAAAAAGTAATAGAAGTTTAACTAAAATATGAAAAAAAAAAATTCACTAAAAACAAACGAAAATCCGAACAAAAATACACGTAGATTTCTGTTTGAATTTTCATCTATTTTTAGTGATTTTTTTAATGTTTTAGCCAATTTGTTTACTTTTTAACGCATTTTGATTAGGTGTATTTAAAAACTACAAAGAATTGATTAAAATATTAAAAAAATCACTAAAAATAATGAAAACTCATTTAAAAACAGTTTTTGAAAAATTATCTAACCACACAGACATCATATTTTCTTATCGCAATTGGTTTACCGTCTTATTTGTCAACATTGTATTAGTTTAATGGATTTCACCACTCATATTTATTACCAATGTAGTATTAGCACGAGCTATTAAGCAAAACATGGTTACAAAAATATAGTCATCATAGTATTATTGTTAAAATAATTGTACAGTTTTTATAATACTAATTTTATAAAGAATGTTCAACCTTTTTAATTTTATTCAATATTAATCACATTAACAAAACCTAAGTTGATCGATAGACCTTATTATATATATCATGCTAAGATGAATTTTTGCTTTGATTATATTTTGCTTTCTTAAGTCTGGCTCATTGGTCTCATATATTCTTCTCTAGAAAAGTGATATGATTACATTGGTCTTATCGTTTTGAGTGCAACTTGCCTTCTCCTATACCCCTTCTACCTATTGTTAAAAAAAATTATGTAAAACATCATGGACCGGAATGTAATGAAGGGCTTATTTATCTTTATTTATTCATTTGTATGTATGAATGTTTCTTAAAAGTATGTAAAACATCAGTGACCATAGGTATAATTTGGCCTAAAAATTGTAACAATCCAAAATTTTAATTATCTTTTAATTCCGTATAAGTATTATTCAATTATGAATGAAGAAAATAGAATTTTTTTATAATTATATATGTGGTTTTGTAATTAGGATAATATGTAATTTTGCAAATAGTGTAATTATTATATATATTTGGGATCAAAATGTAATAAAATAAAAAGGAAAGAAAGCTGGCAACGGTGGGTGGGCAAGGTGTCGTGGTAGTGTGATGTGGTCAACAAGTGACCCTTTGTTTTGTTCTGCACTGTGGGTAATGTTACATGTTCTGTATAATATTGTATATATATGATTTTTGAAATATAATTCTATTATCTGAAGTGGGCATGAGCAACTTATCTGTTTTGTTTTAAATGTTTATCATCTGATCAATTTTAACATAAGTAGTTGTCCATGGTGATTTTATGACCCTGATGCTCTCGGTATAATAGTCCTCACTCTGTAATATGCTTATAAGTTGTTTATCAATTTTCAGGAGATAATGATTAGAGAGGGAGGTGCACGGCTTGTTTGGGGAATGGGACTATGGAATAGACGCACAGTGTATTTTTGTGTACAAGTTTATTTCTTCATTTTGTAAACGTCGGCCTAACAGCCTTTTTGTTATAAATAAATAGAAGCTCTGATGTATATTTTGATACCTTTATGTAAATAACTATTTCCGCGTTTGTTTGTTAATCAGTTTAGTTGTACAATCGGCCTTGGATAACCATGGTCACTGGTCGGCCACGATGCCTGACTCTAGGGTATCGGGAGCAGGTCATGACAAAAATTATATGCATGTAGACTGAAAAGTGTGATGGTCCACATTCGAAATGAATCTAGTACACATCTAAATTTTTGTTTGTAAGTATTTTTTGGGCTATGTAATATTATTGTTACAAAAATATCATTAAAAAATGTGGTGAATATATTATCTCATCTCTTCAGGTGCCTACATTATAGTGACAAATCCAAGCAGCAACCCACAGATGCACAACTTCTCTGGTCAGCAACTGTCACCAGGTCTTTCTAACTTCATTGTATTTCCTATGATTTCGACTGTTGATCCATTGATACATATTGATTTTTTTTTGTTTCTCGACATTGATACATTCAAATATACCAATTGATACGTATAGAATTTTTCAATATTAATACATTTCAGTCTATAAATGTTGGTAATAAAAATTGGGACAAAATCTGATTTGGCCTGCAGTACTTTACCGCCTTATCGTTCAAAAATAGCCAAAAATCTCCCCTACGGTTTTGTACTATAGTGAAATGGTTACATCTTTCATTCAAAAATTGTCTTACACGTTAAAATGGAATTCAAATAATGTTGTAAAATGACATTTTTACCATTTGTTGGCATAATGAAAATTTTGCCCCTTCGTTGTCTTCTCCACATAGTACAAACCCTAATGCTAACAGCAAGCCCCACATTGTCGCCCCTATTCCCTCTCTAGCCCTAGCCCTAGCCCTAACTCCCTCTTCAATGTGTTTGCATAAAGACTTTTTTATTTTTTTGACAATTTTTAAAGTAATTTTTGGTTATGTAATATTACTTGTTGCAAAAATATTATTAAAAAAGCTAGTGAATATATTACCTCACCTCTTCAAATGATAAAAATGTTATGCTCAGGGCCTAGAAACAAACACAAAACAAGCAACCAATCAAAAACATACAAGTTTTTTGTGATTTGGCAAATTGCCTACGTCTACGGGTACGAATTCTAATTTCAAGAGAACAAACAAATACAACAATGGAGGAGGAGGAGACTTTCAAACTCAGTTAACATTCACTCACACTTTTCTTGCACTTGCTTGCTCTTTGATGCTCTTGCTTGCTCTGATTTTTCCACTCTACTAACACTTGTATTTATACACCAATTCTTGAGGACAAAAGGGTACTTTTCCATGGCATTAACTTGCCAACTTGTTTGCACGTTTTATTTGTAGACCAACAGTGCAATATATTTAGCAAGATTCTAGAAGTGCAAATTCTCCACTTGCAAGCCTTCTAGAATCTGAGCCAACCCATCGAGTTGACTTTATGAGCCACTCAATGAATCAACTCAACCAAAAAAAGCAGTGGCAATACCAGGCAGCAATCCGCTGGCGCACAACAACTTCTCATTAGGCCCGTTTGGTAGAGCTGTGGGAAAGTGATTATAGATTATGATTTTACAGATTATAGATTATAACTTTAAATATAAGTTGTTAACCTGTTTGGTGTAGCTGTGGGATTATAGATTTAATCAGCAGAGTAGTGTTTGGTTGAATAAGCTGTAAAATAACTTTTTGCTGTGTAATGTCTTTTTTGCCCTTCTAAGATATAAAGATTGTTATTTTTTCATTTTTTTCAGTTTTAATTTAAAAAAATTTATTTCATTAATTGTGAAATAAATTGTGCAATTTATTTAATTTTGTTTAATTTATTAATTCATTACAATTAATATCAATTAATATTCATGTATTTTGTTTCATTTATATCAATATTTTTTTTCATTACAATTAATAATATAAAAATTGTTATTTTTTAAATTTGTTAATTCATTAAAAAATATACCATTTAATATTTCTTTTTTTCTTCTTCTCTTCTCTCCTCTTTCACCCATACGCCACTAGTGGTCTGCAACCCTAGCCACCGCCGTGATCTGGAATGGCAGAGAAGGAGAGACGATGACAGTAGATTGTGACGACAGCGACTCTGGTTCAGATTTCGATGCGTAGGGTTTTGCCTTGAGATCACTACGACGGTGACTCTGGTTAGGGTTGTTAATCGTGAGCTAGGGTTGATCGCCATCGTGATCGCGATGCTCGAGAGAACACCGTCGATCATGATAGATGGCTTGTAGTGGTGATGGCAACAATGCTAGGGTTTTGCTCCCTCTTTAGATCGCAACGAGAGAGACAGAGAAAGAGAAAGAAAAGAGAGATCGCGAAGAGAGAGAAAGAGAGGGAGAGAGAGAGAGAGAAGAGATTTGGTTCGTGAGAGAGAGTGCACTCCGGTTTGTTCATAGAAATTGCCTCGCGATCATGATGGGAGAGAGAGAGAGAGAGAGAGAGAGAGAGAGAGAGAGAGAGAGAGAGAATAATGAAAGCGATGAGCTCCTGCGACAAGCTCATCTTCTCTGTTCTCCTTTTTTATCTTTTCCGGAGTCACCGGAAATCGCCTCTCCACTGGAAATCGCCCATCTCCTTTCGTGAGAGGGAGAGAATGAGTGTGTTTTTGCTTATATAATTGGTAGACTTGTAATAACTTGAAAGTGTGAAGGGCATTTAAGTCTTTTTATCCTTGACATTCAGCTTGCCGTTTAAGTTGAAAAAAATAAGCACCTCCTCCCCCACTCAACCAAAAAGCTCATTTTCTACTTATGAAAGCGATGAGCTCCTGCGACAAGCTCATCTTCTCTGTTCTCCTTTTTTATCTTTTTCGGAGTCACTGGAAATCGCCTCTCCACTGGAAATCGCCCATCTCCTCTCGTGAGAGGGAGAGAATGAGTGTGTTTTTGCTTATATAACTGGTAGACTTGTAATAACTTGAAAGTGTGAAGGGCATTTAAGTCTTTTTATCCTTGACATTCAGCTTGCCGTTTAAGTTGAAAAAAATAAGCACCTCCTCCCCCCACTCAACCAAAAAGCTCATTTTCTACTTATGAAAAGTTATAATCTACACCATTAAGCTGAATCAAACATACCAAAATAGCTTAAATTAAGCTAAAAGCTGAAATAAGCCCTACAAAACAGGGCTATTGTCTTTTGTATTACCATTTAAAATTTGTATTGCGTTGGGTGATATATAGATTTTTTATTTTTCCATATTGATACATTCTAGTATGTTGATTGATGCGTATAGGGTTTTTAATTTCCAATATATTGGTGGCAATAAAAATTATATGCATTGATTGGTTTGCGATTTGTATCGTTTCATAGACGATTCACAACCTGATTTATAGCTAATATGGCTAGTTCACAGCCAATACAACTGACTTGGTTGTTAGAAATCCCTTTTACGGAATTGATGATTTCAAAAAATTTCTAATTGCATCATCCAATCTCAATATGTATTACTCGATACTCCTCATTCTGCTATTTAAAATCTTGATTCCTATTGTGACTTTGTAAGTGACTGAAGGTTGCTTCTTGCAAGGCCAAACCACAGAATGAGAAGGTTGTCTTCTAACATTTTATGAGAGAAACAATTGTAAATTACAAAGAGTCTGAAAATTCCCCCATGATGAAGTTTATTCAAATATTTTAACTGATAAAAGAATTAAATGGTATAGTTCATTTGTTCATAACTTGGACTTAAAAGCATGATTATTGCTTTTCAAGTGGATGTTTCTGTATTTCTTTTTTTTATTTGCGAAAGTCAATTATTAGTTAGATTAAATTCTGGGGAGAGTTGAACCTTCGACCACTCCCTTACAAACACTTGAGTGGCAATGGCTTGTTTCTCCCGATAGTGTTGATCAAGTAACAAAAATTTATTTTCTGGTACATCCTTATGGATTGGATTAGTTTTTTGAGAGGGTGTTCTTAATTCTCGCATCTCTTTGATACTCTTGGTGTAATGCTTTATACCATATGCTAACATTTTCTTTTATTATTATTACTGTTTTTAGGATAGCTATATACTATATGATGCATAAATATGGATACTATACAACACTAACACAACGACATGACAAAATCTAGAAAATTAAGATTCGGGTATGGTATGTTGAAACAAAAATTATATGTTTAAGATTATAATATACATGAGTTCAAAAAATACTGTGAAATCATTATTTCAGAATTAGATATTAGTTTAAGAGCTAATAGTGGTCACTTTTTGTTTTTTTAATAGATGAATTACTTAGATAAAATCGGAAAAAGTAGAGTATTATTTTAAGTCCACTATCTTCTTCTTCAATAAGAAATAAGAAAATATTATAAAACTATTCTTGTATTTATTTCAACCATCATTCTTTAATAGTATGCAAAAATTATTACAATTTTAATTTCATAATAGTTTGGATATGTGACATAAAGTGCCCTAAAAGTATCTAATACTTCTCAAAATTAACATCAAGTATCCGATACGTATTGGCGAGTATCCGATACGGATACTATAATATGACTACTTTTTAAGAGCATCCATAGTTTGTAGGCTATATATCTCCAATTATATCTCCAATCATAAATATCCACAAAAGAAGTGATATAATATGGAGATTTAAAATATATATATATATATATATTACAATTTTCTTTTTCTTTTTTATGCAGCTCAGAAGGAAAGTTTAAAGGCAGGCATATCGGAAAAGATCTTACTAGAATTCAAAAAAAATTGGAAAACAATAGTCATGGCATTCAAGATCTTACTCGGTAAATATTACAATGTAGATGAAGAATTCAAAGGAAAATATCAACCAACAAGCAAAATTATACTTCTTCTGTGGATCTTCAAGTGGCATGTATATCCTTGGCAATGTGCTGATATTGGCTATACAACTGCTTCGTCTTCTTCGATGAATAATGCATAAAATTTTTACATAAAGAGATATGAAAGTGAAACTTTCTTCTTGCACTTTTCTCTATTACTAGTGGTTGGGCATGTGCGTTACACGTGTTAAGTGATTTTTCATCAATTATTAATATTGTAATTATGCATGTCATTTAAATTAATATGTGATATGTATATAAAGTATGTAGACTTGTATGGGTAAATTAGTCTATATCCAAAATACAATTAAGCAAAGATGAATACATACTTGGTTGAAGAATTTAAATGATAAATGAAAAATTTTATAAACATAAATATTAATTTATAGCTAAATTGTTGAGATCACAATATTATCTTAAACAATAAACAATAAGTAGGTTCTTTAAATATATAGTATTATACAAATATTTTTCTATCAAGTTCTCATTTCAATTTTTC